CAATTACATGTATATCACATATACCTTTCGTTTTGCTGGCCTTCTTGTCCGCTAAGTATTTGGGGTAGTTCCGCTTCCAGTGACCACTTTCCTTGCAATAAAAGCACTCAGTCTCGGGCTTGGGTCCATTCTTTGGCTTCTTCCCGGCAGCTTGCTTGCCAGGCGCGGCAACTCCCTTGCCGTCCTTCTTGAAGTTCTTCTTACCCTTGCCTTTCTTGAACTTAGTGGTTTTATTCACCATCAACACTTGATGTTTCTTTTTGACTTCTACCTCTGCTGATTTCAGCATTGCAAATACTTCAGGAATGGTCTTTTCCATCCCCTGCATATTGAAGTTCATCACAAAGCTCTTGTAGCTCGATGGAAGCGACTAAAGGATTCTATCAATGACCGCGTCATCCGGGAGATTAACTCCCAGCTGAGTCAGGCGGTTATGTAACCCAAACATAGTGAGTATGTGCTCACTGACAGAACTGTTTTCCTCCATCTTACAGCTGAAGAATTTGTCGGAGACTTCATATCTCTCGACCCGGGCATGAGCTTGAAAAACCATTTGATCTACAATACATGTTGTAAAGATTTTAGACTAAGTTCATGATAATTAAGTTCATCTAATCAAATTATTCAATGAACTCCCACTCAGATAGACATCCCTCCAGTCATCTAAGTATAACATGATCCGAGTTAACTAGGCTGTGTCCGATCATCATGTGAGACGGACTAGTCAACATCGGTGAACATCTTCATGTTGATCGTATCTTCTATACGACTCATGCTCGACCTTTCGGTCTTCTGTGTTCCAAGGCCATGTCTGTACATGCTAGGCTCATCAAGTCAACCTAAGTGTTCGCATGTGTAAATCTGTCTTACACCCGTTGTATGTGAACATTGGAATCTATCACACCCGATCATCACGTGGTGCTTCGAAACAACAAACTGTCGCAATGGCGCACAGTTAGAGGAAACACTTTCTTGAAATTATTATGAGGGATCATCTTATTTACTACCGTCGTTCTAAGTAAACAAGATGCAAAAACATGATAAACATCACATGCAATCAAATAATAGTGACATGATATGGCCAGTATCATATAGCTTCCTTTGATCTCCATCTTGGGGCTCCATGATCATCTTGTCACCGGCATGACACCATGATCTCCATCATCATGATCTCCATCATCGTGTCTCCATGAAGTTGCTCGCCAACTATTACTTATACTACTATGGCTAACACGATTAGCAATAAAGTAAAGTAATTTACATGGCGTTTCTCAATGACACACAGGTCATACAAAAAATAAAGACAACTCCTATGGCTCCTGCCGGTTGTCATACTCATCGATATGCAAGTCGTGATTCCCATTACAATAGCATGAACATCTCATACATCACATATATATATCATTCATCATTCATCACAACTTTGGCCATATCATATCACAAAACACTTGCTGCAAAAACAAGTTAGACGTCCTCTAATTGTTGTTGCAAGTTTTACGTGGCTGCAATAGGGTTCTAGCAAGAACGTTTTCTTACCTACGTGAAAGCCACAACGTGATTTGTCAACTTCTATTTACCCTTCATAAGGACCTTTTTCATCGAATCCGCTCCAACTAAAGTGGGAGAGACAGACACCTGCCAGCCACCTTATGCAACTAGTGCATGTCAGTCGGTGGAACCGGTCTCACGTAAGCGTATGTGTAAGGTTGGTCCGGGCCGCTTCATCCCACAATACTGCTAAAGCAAAATAAGACTAGTAGCGGCAAGAAAGTTGACAACATCTACACCCACAACAAATTGTGTTCTACTCGTGCAAAGAGAACTACGCATAGACCTAGCTCATGATGCCACTGTTGGGGAACGTTGCAGAAAACAAAAAATTTCCTACGGTTTCACCAAGATCCATCTATGAGTTCATCTAGCAACGAGTGATCGGATTGCATCTACATACCTTTGTAGATCACGCGCGGAAGCGTTCAAAGAACGGGGATGAGGAAGTCGTACTCGACGTGATCCAAATCACCGGAGATCCTAGCGCCGAACGGACGGCACCTCCGTGTTCAACACATGTACAGTCAGCGTGACGTCTCCTCCTTCTTGATCCAGCAAGGGGGGAGGACAGGTTGATGAAGATCCAGCAGCACGACGACGTGGTGGTGGATGCAGCAGTCACCGCAGCAGGGCTTCGCCGTTCTTCTGCGAGAGGGAGAGGTGTAGCAGGGGAGAGGGAGGCGCCAAGAGTCAAGGATGCGGCTGCCCCTCCCCCCCTTTATATAGGCTCCCCAAGGGGGGGCGCTGGCCCTAGGAGATGGGATCTCCTAGGGGGGCGGCGGCCAAGGGTGGAGTGGCCCCCAAGGCAAGTGGGGCGCCCCCCACCCTAGGGTTTCCATCCCTAGGCGCAGGGGGTGGGCCAAGGGGGCGCACCAGCCCACTATGGGCTGGTTCCCCTCCCCACTTCAGCCCATGGGGCCCTCCAGGATGGGTGGTCCCACCCGGTGGACCCCCGGGACCCATCCGGTGGTCCCGGTACAATATCGGTGACCCCCGAAACTCTCCCAATGGCCGAAACAGCACTTCCTATATATAATTCTTCACCTCCGGACCATTTCGGAACTCCTCGTGACGTCCGGGGTCTCATCCGGGACTCCGAACAACTTTCGAGTTACTGCATATTCATATCTCTACAACCCTAGCGTCACCGAACCTTAAGTGTGTAGACCCTACGGGTTCGGGAGACATGTAGACATGACCGAGATGGCTCTTCGGTCAATAACCAACAGCGGGATCTGGATACCCATGTTGGCTCCCACATGCTCATCAATGATCTCATCGAATGAACCATGATGTCGAGGATTCAAGCAACCCCGTATACAATTCCCTTTGTCAATCGGTATGTTACTTTCCCGAGATTCGATTGTCGGTATCCCAATACCTCGTTCAATCTCGTTACCGGCAAGTCACTTTACTCGTACCGTAATGCATGATCCCGTGACCAGACACTTGGTCACTTTGAGCTCATTATGATGATGCATTACCGAGTGGGCCCAGAGATACCTCTCCGTCATACGGAGTGACAAATCCTAGTCTTGATCCGTGTCAACCAAACATACACTTTCGGAGATACCCGTAGTATACCTTTATAGTCACCCAGTTACGTTGTGACATTTGGTACACCCAAAGCACTCCTACGGTATCCGGGAGTTGCACGATCTCATGGTCTAAGGAAAAGATACTTGACATTGGAAAAACTCTAGCAAACGAACTATACGATCTTGTGCTATGTTTAGGATTGAGTCTTGTCCATCACATCATTCTCCTAATGATGTGATCTCGTTCTCAATGACATCCAATGTCCATAGTCAGGATACCATGACTATCTGTTGATCAACGAGCTAGTCAACTAGAGGCTTACTAGGGACATGTTGGTGTCTATGTATTCACACATGTATTACGATTTCCGGATAACACAATTATAGCATGAATAAAAGACAATTATCATGAACAAGGAAATATAATAATAATCCTTTTATTATTGCCTCTAGGGCATATTTCCAACATTCTCCACCAAGCAAGCTTACGGCACCATTATGGCAAGGCCAGAAACGGACCTCATTGCTCCCCTCATCTGGAACACCAAGGCTTCACGCAAGATCAAGATCTTCGCTTGGCTACTCTTTAAGGATCGCCTAAACACCGCCGTGAACCTTACCCAGAAGAACATAATCCCCTCGGACTTATGCACACGGTGTGCCACGCTACCGGAAGACTCCACTCACCTCTTCATCTCTTGCCCCCTCGCCAATAGAATCTGGCAGAGAGTTGGCATTCTGCCTCAAGATGAAGACCTCAATGAACTTTGGGACGTTCCACTGCCTCACCACCTGCCCAAGAACGCATGGCCTTTCGTCCTTCTTGCACTACTTTCCTCCATATGGGCCGCGAGAAATGATATGCTCTTTAGAAATGTTGATCAATGTTCTGTAATAACTGTTAGGAACCTAGTAGCAGACTTAGATCTTTGGTCACATCGTCTTGTTGATACGGGTGACAAGGAGGACGTCTCCTCGTGGCGTACCTACCTCTCTGCATGATGCACCGTGCCTTTGTAAATTGTTTCTGCTGCTCCGGCAGTCGTTTTGAGCAATATATTCAGGTGGGGAGCTCCCCCCGGTGATTCTCAAAAAAAGAAGATATTAGCTACCAACATGAACTACACATACTTGAATCGCCACCTATAGGCTTTACACAATGCATTAGAAACTCAATTACAACGATGAGACAAAGGCTTAGCCATTTAAACATCGACTAGAGACGTACTCCAAACTTGACAGACATGGTTGAAGATAGAGTAGGAACACAAAACCTCATGGAATCTAGACAACCAGACCCGCCATAAGGCACCTTCACTGGCTCCACATCGACGTTGAAAAAAGACGCCTACCTTTTCACCACCATGCTGCCGCTCTCTAGAAAGAAAGCGACGAAAAACACAAGAAAACAAACAAACACCGAGAGGGAAAAATAAGGTCCGCGCCACCCGACCGTCGGATCGGTGATCGGAGGCGAGGGAATGCGTCGACTCACCGGGAACGTCTTGGCTACATCGCATGGTGACCAAATTTTCGTTACACGCCCTAAACTCTTCCAAATTAGCCACAAACACACATGATCCACCACTCAAGAGCCCAATGACAACTTTTTTTTTCCAAAGCCCTAATGATAACCCTTGATCTGGCTGGGATCATTAGCCACTCTAACCACCACTCGACCGGGAGGCCCCACCCGCAGCTTAACAAAACCACCTCCGCCGCTGTCCCCGTTCCCTTTTCCCCTCCGATCGCAGCAGCTTCCGCGAAGACGGAGCCGCCCCCATTAAAATACCGAACTCGCCACGCCCCCGCATCTCTCCACCCTCCCCGCTCCTCCTCCTCGGCCTCCGCCGCCCCCGCCCCCGCCCCCGCCTCCCCGAATCCCAGCCCTAGCGGCCGGCGAGCGCGGCGATGGGCGCCGTCGCCTCCACGGTGGCGGCGCGCTTCGCCTTCTTCCCGCCCTCCCCGCCGTCGTACGGCGTCGAGCCCCCGCCCTCGCCGGCGGCCGCGGCCGCGGACGGCGCGGTGGTGGAGCTCAGCGGGGTGCCCCGGCGGGGCGGCGTGGAGGCGCGGCGGCTGCCGACCAAGCGCGGCTCGGAGGTGGTGGCCATGTACGTGCGCCAGCCCGGGGCGCGCCTCACGCTGCTCTACTCCCACGGCAACGCCGCCGACCTGGGCCAGATGTACGAGCTCTTCGTCGAGCTCAGCTCACACCTCAACGTCAACCTCATGGGGTGCGTACGTCTCCCATCTGTTAGTAATGTTTCGCTATGAATTACGGTGCTGCTACTGTCAGGTTGCTCGATTAGTAGGGTGGAAGGAATTGGATTTAGTAGAACTTGACTGCTTGGGTTTTGCTTGTTGGGGTATGCTTAGGAACGTTTGGGCCCTGTTGTTCCGTAAAACGTCGATGGAAGTTCAATCTTCAAGGTCGTGCTGGCGGTTGGTTGTGCATCCACGCCTTCATGGAAAGTAGTATTAGTCGTTAGATACTTTTGTGATTTGATTGAGGTTGTTGAACCCATGGGAATGTCTGCGAGGCCGTTGTTATCGGCTGGGTGGTCCGAAGACTAGGCCAGTCTGGTCAATAATTGGTTGATTTGATTGAAGTCGATCATTATTTTCTAATAAATGTTAGAGGATTTAGGACTGATTGGAAAGTTTGGATGTTAGTGTGCTGTGCTAGTCAGTGGTGGGAACGTCTACTTTATGTCATTGTCACTGCTAGAGTCGTTTGAAAATTCTCGTATCTGTGCACGCAAAATGAAACATTTGGATTCTAGTGTTGAATTGTGAATCTTCTGATCCTACCTTAAATAATTCAGTTGGTAAGGACTGAAGATCCATTGTGTCGGAATGTAGTTTGGTGGTCGCCATTTTTGGCCACAATCTGAATGCCTCATTGGCACATTCATATGTTCTTTTTTATTACCAATATTAAGTTTCTTGCCGTGCGGAAAAATAAAAAAACAAAAGGTTTGCATCATTGTTGTTTGCTTCGTTTGGATATTTATTTTTCCTAGTATAGGGATCTTATACTGTTAACGATGAGGACAGGGTTTTTACTTTCTTTTTACTTCACTTCTAATTAGATTCTTGTATAATTATTATAGTTATCGTTTCTGTTGTACCTGCAAAATTGGTTA